CTCAAGACCCGCAAGTGCAACAATTACGCTACTCTGATGATGGAAAAGAGGAAGTTTCCGAAACGTCAGTTCGAATACAATATGGTCCATGGATTCGTCCTCTCTTCTTCTTCGTCTTCTTCGGGAGATGATGAACGCGATATATATATATATATATATATATGTATACATACATGTATATGCATTGAATGAATGCCTCTCAAGAAACGTAATTTAAAAGTAAAGAGTTCCTTGGTAATTGTAACAGGGTTTATTCCGTAAATTTCCGACACTGGTTCCCAAATTCGTCATCAGACGCGCGGAAAATGTGAAAAACAACTAAAAAATTTAAAAACCTCTTAAAATCGGCACTGCCCTTTTATTACTGCCACGAGGTCATCGGTTGGGTTAATACCTCTATCGGATTGTTGTCACCTCTTCCACTTTTCCCTGAGATTTTTATGCACGCAGTCTAATTCAATCTGCCGGCTAATGCATGATTCATCGGAATGTACGGTCTCCACAAATTTTCAGCCTTTTTTAGATGGACAGGTATCAACAATACGAGCTATGTCTCAAGCAATTTTATGGTCACTATCCAGTTTATGCATGGTACCTTGGGACAAGTGGTCTCACCTCTTCACGGCGAGGACGTCACGATGCGAAAATTGGAAGCTGTGCCCTTCAGTCGGTCAAATCCAAATTATGCGTGCGTTATGCGGACGCCACTATTGTTCTCCTTAAAAGGGATCACCTGAAAATGATGGGACCGTGGCTTTGAATTTATGAACCATGATTTTAGTGAGGAAACCGAATAAAGGTGACTCCATTGGCATTCTCTTCAACTGTCGACAGTAGTTATTATATGTATCGCATTAACCATCTACCAAAAGACGGAGAAGAAAAAGAAGGAGGAGTTTGGGCACTAGTTCGTGAACTCGCCCCTTTCTGTCCCGCCTTCTTCGGCAGATGATGGACGCGATAAAATATCTGAATTTCGAATCCTCACGCGTAAATATGCACATGAGACGGGGGGATGAGCTTGCCCGTTTCGAATTGCCATTGGGCTGGCGTGCGTCCATTCTTCTTTGAACATAGATACGGCGCCCATTACAGCTCTCTTCTTTAACCTTTTAATGTATCACAATCACCGCGTGTTCATCTTACTGAAATCTGCTCAAAAACATAACACAAGTGAGCGTCACACCTCAGTTTAGTCCAGTCCCTTCAGTTAAGAAATTTTAGCTTTCGGCGCTTCAAATAAACAGACACCATGCCACAGTCTTAGAATGCACAACTAATAGACAGTATTACATATTACTAATTGCCTCTGCTGAAATCCCTATCAGTGTAAAAATAACGCGGTCAGTTCGAGTCACCAAATGCTCGCACAAAGGTCTTTTATAGCTTAAAACAGACATAAACAACAGCATTTATTTGTGCCAACAAATTTCGCGACTGCTTATCAACCGCAACCGGTCGCTAAGTGACACAGATAATTAGTAAGAAGCATACAAAAATTTGAATTCACGCAGAAAAGTCAATGCAAAGCAACAAAGTCATTGTATAGTGCACACATTCTAATAAATTAAAAAGACAACTTAAAAAGCAATTTAAGAAAGAAAGAAAAGTGGACAAAGCTAGCACACAAAAGGTGGATGTGCATGTATAAGGACAGGTGATTACCATGTGGTCTAGCCGCAAGCACAGACCGGGTTTCTCCCTTCGTAAGTGGGCTGCTTCCAGGTAGCGCAACTTTCGAGTCACTCGTGCCAAGAAGGCAATTGAAAGCGTAGTTTGTCTTAAATAAAACATCTTAAATTCACTGGGTAAAGTTTTAATCAGGATGTAAGTTAGGTATCCCCCTAAACAAGGAAGGCGTCTCACCCCTTACACTTAAATAATTTCACTGTCAGCCAATAAAAGATCCAGGAGGCATAAAACAAACAGATTTTCCCCCAGATCGGCACTCACAAGGCAAATAATAAGAGAGGCCTCCTAAGTACTCCTGCTTACTGGTCGTCCTATGGGCAAACTTTTTCCCTAAACATGTCGTGAGGTCCGATTGGTTAGCGATCGGTTAAGCACACTCGAAGGTCTCTAAGCATGCATCTATTGTCCCCATCTTCCGCCCCAGCTTTCAGTGATCAACATACACTCGTCCCATTCCGACGACAGGCTCTTGCCAACATATCGAAAATTCGCGGACGAAGTTTTCCTTTCAAAGAATCCTTGTTTATCAAGCTTATTCTTGAAATTTTCGCCATCACAGTCTGATGAATTGCAATTTTATTTTTCTATGATTTCAGACTTCTGGGCAATCTGAATCTACGCTCGTTTTGTTGTGCATTTTAAAATGTTTCGAGTCCTAAACCCAAACGGGAGTTTCCTGGCTTCAACGACAGCGTTGCAGTTGGCAGTACTCCCAACACTACGGTAACTATGACTGGTCCATCAATTCAAAGTTAATGAGTTGTCCTTTGCCT